TATATATATATATACATATAATGCATACATACAGTCGCTAGTAATAGATCTAGATCCTCTGTGCTCGGCGGCATAGACCGTCACACCAAAGCTGTAAAGTTTAAGGCCTGGGGGCAAAGGTTCAGGGTTTCGAAGGTTTCGTTCTCAGGTTTATTGCCTTCTATGAAGGATGCGGGGTTTAACCCTAAACCCTAAGACCTAAATAGGGTTGAAGATGTAAGGTTTGTGGCATTCATGGGTTTTTACAGAGTCTATGGGTAAGGAAAGTCGACCACGGCGCCTCAACCGGGCCCCAAACACTAACCCTAAACCCTAAACCCAAAACCCAAAGCCCAAAACCCTAAACCCTAACCATCGTCAGCCCTGAGCCCTAAACCACCGCACCTTCCTTTTCGCCAAGTGTCGGGGCTTCGAACTCGGGTCGAACAAACGGGACTTCATGAACCACATAAGAGAGATTCAAGCGGCCGAGCGGCGCTAATCTCGGCAGTCCTGAGCCCATACCTATAGTCTCCCTTGTGGTTGCTTTGGATAAGCGGAGAAGCGGGCCTTTGGTCCGGATCCTGTAGTGAAAGGCAAAGTAACCAAACGAAAGGAACCACAAGGGATCCCTAAACTCTACACCCTAAACCCTAAACCCCTAAACCCCTAAACCCTATAAACCCTAAACCCCTAAACCCTAAAGCCTTAGAAATGACTTAAGGAAAAGCCCTGTGCTGGCACTGCACCCTAAACCTCTGTGGCCTCGGATCCCATAGCCCCTAGACCCCTCCTGATCCTTGAAGCAAGGCCCCCAAGTTTACGTTTCTGTCTATATATATATATATATACATATACCTATAAGTACTAGACCCTAAACCATACAACCTAAACCCTAAGCCCATATTACAGGAACCCAAAATAGAACCCTTCAAGGAGCCATTTGGCAATTTTACCCACGAACTCGAAGCCTCGCTCCTGTCAATCCGGGTGGCTCGGCGACTAGAGCATTTCCGTAAATCTCTCCCACGGCGGGCTCCTGGCGTCCCGGCGCGCTTTGGGGCTTCGGAGCTTTGCGTCTACAGGGTTCAAGGCTTGTCGGGTTTCGGGCTTATGGGTCATAGTTTGTATAATTACAATATATATATATATACACACACATACATGCATACATACATACATACATACATACATACATACATACATACATGCACACACACACACACACATATATATATATATGCTACCCCCCCC